GTGTTCTCCCACTCTGGGCAGTAACCAGCCTAGAGCAAACTTTCAAGCAGATGGCATCTCTCAAATATCCATTACAAACTGCTTTGGAAGATGTTTACAAACTGTGGGTGATATTAGGGCAATGGCCACCATCTTTTTCCAGGCTTTGTTTTTGCAAAGGTATATCAAGCTTTCACCAAGATGAAGGTCCACAGAACTATGATTTATGTCAGTTTTGATTGTATGATAGTGAAATATAGGAGGAGTCCTGAAGAGCCATAAGCTTGACTTAAAGTTTTTATTTTCTATATTAGCTTTTCAAAACTGAAAGGTATCATAAGAGATTGTGAGGTTGTGCATTAAGAGGTAGCAGTGAGACTCTGCAGTACTGAATGCAGCAATTACTGCCATTAAGTACCATAATGCAACCACTGCTGTTTCTGCATGCAAAAAATAACTGAAGTGGCAAGACAAGAGGAATTTTTTTCAGGTTGTATTGATTTTAATTTGGAAGCAGTTATCTAAAGCTACCAATAATTCATAAAGAAAAATTGTCCTCACCATCTCAGAGACTCAGTGCTGTTTAATTTGAAGAATATGTGTAGATTTTGCGTGGAAAGTACTTCTCAATACGTTCTAGAGGTAGAGAAAAGAGCAAAAAGATGAACATTCAGGATGCTGAACACTGTACCTTGGCCCTGTCTACACAGGGCTTCAGGGAAGGTGAATGATGAAGCGGTTGTGTTTTCACAAGAGATCACAGTCTTCCCAGCCTCTGCTGGGTGAAGCTTTGTCTCTCTCTGCTACCTCACTAATAGCCAAGGAAAGCTGATCAGGTAAACATCTGTGGGGTTCTTTTTCATAGTGTGACCCCTCTGAGACTCTCTGCTTGCTTATTTGTTTAGATCTGCTTTGACTAATGGACAATGTTTAAAGTTTATTGAATGATTGTTGACATTAGCTTTAAAAGACTCTTGCCTACTGAACGTGTATGGGATGAGTTATGGAAACTCCTTTGGTTTTCGTTATTAATTATTCTGTTGTCTTGCAGTTGTTATTTCCATGTTTATCCTGTCATAGTTCTTTTGTGTATGCAGTCAGAGCTTTATTGGTTGTTTTCCAGACAAGCTAAGACTTTGAGGAAGCTTTTGGGGTTTGGAGGGGTGTTGGTTGATTGCTTGATTGAACAACAGTGAGCTGTCATAATCTAGGTTTTCATCAGAATGGCATCTGACAACATGTCACATGACATGTAGTGGTTAGCTGGAAGTTATGTAGCTGTTTGAAGATCTGTTAATTCCCTGCAAATGTGCAGCTGTGGTCTGTCACCAGAATCTTTAATTGCACACATCTGCACAATGGTACTGTAGTTCATTCTCCATGTTTACAGGTGTTACTGCTTGGATTCAGCTTTCCAAACTTTCTGTTGTGTATGACCATGGTGCAGAGAGTATATTTTCAAATTATGGGAAAGCCAGACTGTTTCCCAGTCTCTTGCCTCATCACCTTCAAAAAAACTTGCTTTATTTTGGGAAATCCCTGACATTCAGTTAATCAGTTTCTCTCAAAGGTTTTTACCTTCTTTTCAGAAATTCAAATGCTGTTTTCTTGTGGCCTTGCAAGAGATTTCTGACTCCTCTTTATATTAATAGTAGCTTTGTGCTTTAGAGTAGGGGTATTTCATTAGTGATTCCTGTTTTGGAAAAAAGCCAAGTTGCATATCCAATGGCTCTCACCTCTGAAGGCAGTGCTGATTATTGCTTACTCAATACCCTTCTGTCAGAACCTGAAGATTGCATCCCTTTTGATCAAGTTAACCTTTCTAGACATTTTCTTATTTAAAAAAAAAATACAGTGCTAATTTCAGTTGTGTGTGCATGTCTTGGGTAGTGGAGGTGATAATTAAATGGAGAAATTTGAAATCAGGTTAGCAATCAGGCAGAGAAATTGGCATGAAGAGAAAAAGGAGGTTAACAATGTTACTTGTGTGAGCCTACTACACAGCAAACAGCTGAAGACCTGGCTTGCATTCTGTGCTGGTGCCCCCAAAGTATTTTGGTGTTTCTTTTTTTGTTGTTCTGGTTTTGATCCACAGGCAAACAAGAATATACACTGCCTTTTTCTATAGCAATAAACTCAACAACTGTCAAGGAATATTTATTCCCAGGTACCCAAATATGATTATCTGTACCAGCAAATTATCCAAGCAATCCTTGGTGAGGTTTTTAGTCCATGCCAACTAGACTCTCCAAACAACTTCTTCCACTGATGAGGAACTACCATGATCCAGGGAGTGTGCCTGATAGGCAGCTTGAGCATTACCTGCACTGAATCTGGAGGGTGATCTCAGTGTCAGAGAACTCTTCTGGGCATGTTTAGATGCTATGTATAGACTCATTAAGAGCTAGAGGAGTTTCTGTCTTTGTGCTAAATCTCATGGTCAGAACATTGAAGGTGAGACCCCTTACTGAAAAAAAGTTACTTACTGATCATTTGTACCCTGTTAGCTTTAAAATGCTACTACTTTGATGTCTGTGTATGGGAATAAACTGTAAAATGACATGATAGCCCTTCTACTTTAAGAGAAGCTGTAGTCACAGAATATTTGTAAGGTGTCTTTAGTTGCACAGCCACAGCTGTTGTGAACATCCAGTATCTTAAAGTGAAGTTGGCATGATGCTTCTCTGAAGCAGTATTTGTTCTGCTTTCTTTATAAAGAATCAAAATCTATCAGTTATTTTACAGCATTTTTTTATAGCTGATCTTGCAATGTAATAGTCATTATCACCATTTTAAATCTCTGGGCCCTTCATATGCCTTGGGTTGCTTCTTGATGTGAAGTTGCAAAGGAGTTACGTGAACGTAATGTTTGTAAAATGCTTTGAAGATGAAAAGCTCTACAGTAGGTTTTTATTATTACCAGAGGCAAAGTGAGCAGGAGTGGCTTAATGTTGGACTGTTCATTTCCCAAGAGATGGCTTTGTTTTGAAGAATGCACATTATCAATTGGGTTGGAGACAAAATTATCTTATTTCAGTCCTGAATATAAATAAATTGCCAAACTTTCTACCTTGAGATTATTTGTATGAGATATTTGTAAAAGAGCAGAGCAGTTATGGTACTATCTATGGCTCTGTTCTTAGCTTACATTTAATGGAACATTTGTTTAATGTATTTGGCTTCTACTATCTAAAGGTATTTTGAATCCAGTCCATTCAAACAGCCTTATATATATATAGCAGTATTCTTATATCTATATGATATATAGATATATATGAGAGATGTATTTGAGAAATATATATATATATTTGATATATATATTGGTCTTCTAGGGATAAAATCAGTTTCAGCATGTAAATAAAAAAAGTGGTCTGCATTCCAAAATGGTGACATTTTATTAGAGTTTGGTTCACGGACAATTTTTCACATGTTGAACCTACCACATATAAAATAACTGGCTTTTTTTAATAGTGCTTTAAATATTTCTTGACTCATTTTTATTTCCAGCCTATATCTGCATCATAAACTGGTAGGTGGTTGTACAGGGACATAAAAAAGTGAGCTGTTCTGCAATTCTCAAGCTACTACTGTTTCCTTGTGAGTTAGAGGAGCAGGGAGGGAGCTGTATCGTTCAAATGGAAATTCAACTTCAGCTCGCTAAGCGGGGGGCTGCTTCAGAGAGGCACCAATGTCCTCACGTGGTTCGTTGTCTCCCTTGCCCTTGCAGCAGGTCATCACTTCCACCCAGCAGCCTTGTTTTGACAGAACTGTTTTGTGGTGTCAGCACAGGGTGCCTTTGGGGAGCGGGCGCTGCTGCAGCCGGGGATTTCTGAAGCAGCTATTGTCAGTGGAGGGGCCGCTGGGCCGCGGCCAGGCGCGAGTGCATCCCTGCGGCCTTCAGCCGGCCGCCTCGCTCCGTGCAGCTGCAAAAGCTTTGGGCTCCTGCCTGGCACTTGCAGAAATCGTTGTGGAATTTGCTGATTCTGCCAGACGTGAGCTAAACACTTGTTCCCAAGTGGTGTGTCCCATCAGTACAGCTGTTGGTTATGAAAAACATGCAAGGGCTTTCATCCATAATAACAGAGCTTTATTGAAGTATTGCAAGCTCAAAATATTCAGAGCAATACTATGAAATAGTACCTCCTTGCTTAGCCTATAGGTAGGTTTATTCCCCCATGCTTCAGTTAAAATGTTCATTTATCGTTGTCACATGTCAGAGGTGGGGAGGGAGGCTAAATTTTCCCTCCTACTGTCAGTAAGGATTAACTGACATTGTTGGTCAGTGCTTTCAAAATATTCTGACCTATTTACACAACAAAACTGATCAGAACAAAATAAACAGTTCTGGTCAGGGGCTGAATGCTGTATTGTGGCAGCTATATTTGGCAGTGGCTTTTCTCATCATTTCTCCAGTGTAGACAAAACAATACTACAGAAATCTTAAGCATTACAAGCAGATAATACCCTTACTGAATAGCTTGATTCTCCTGGTGCCTTTTGGGGAAAGGGGACAGTTTGGCCGTAATTCAGTTGGAACAAATGCTTATGAAGCAACTGACAAAAAAATGTATGAGTAGATTTATCATTTTGCCATGCAGGGTAATAAATAATTGCATTTCCAGCGAGCTGCAGCATATACCTGCGAGAGGGTGAACCTCTTTCCAAGTTGTAGTCTCTGCAAAGAAGCATTAAATAGGGAATTGTGACAGACTGTAAGAACTGTTGGTTTCCTGCTTGGGTTTTATTTTTTATTTTGTAACAACCATAGTGGATACTTGCAATTGCCTCTTCATTTTATGTAGTATCCCCTAAGGAATGAGTTGAGAGAAATGTTTCATTCTAGCTATTTGGACAACCATTCCATATTTCCTGGGTCACAGATTTTTGGTAGTTTGGAGGATAAAATTTCCTGACACTCTAGATAGGAAATACATCTTTCTATCTTGCATCTTCAACTCGGATTCTGAGAATACTAAAATGAAGCCTTTGTAAACTTGTCTTTCTTTCCCAATTCCATTTAGTGATAGTCCCAATGCTGTCCATGAGGTGGAAAAATGGTTACCACGACTGCACTCAGTTGTCATAGGACCTGGCTTAGGTAGAGATGAAGTTCTTCTTGAGAACACTAAGGTAACGTGTATACTGATATTTTATTCTGTGTCTTTATCTCGAGTTTTATTAACCACTGTCATGTCTAATATGATTACACAAAAGTTTTTGATAGGATAACTAAATAACAAATTGAATAAAATACTGTGACTGAAAATTACAGCTGTTAGTCATGGTCTTCATTATCAAACTGTAAGCATTACTTTAAATTCCAGGCATCCATATGGTTGTTTTGATTTGCCTTTGTTTTGATTGTGAAAGTTTCTAATTAAGAAATAGATACTCGCATCTCTAGATAAAGGGCTCTGTGTTTTAGGTGCAAAGCACCTGTACTGTGAGAATATAAATATGAATATGAATTCCTAATTTTCAGGACCCTCTTTGGCAATTTGAATCAGGAGAGGTACCAAAGAACAGGGACTGTGTACCCATGCACTAAGAAATAATACTCTTCCTTATAAATATATCCTCTACAGAGTATATTCTCTACTCTGGATAAAGAGGCAATCCTATTTTCTGTCAAGCCTTAGTGGAGAGCCAAAAACATGAGCATAGATAGTTCTGTACTCTAAATAATATGTACTTACACCGTTGTCCAGATGATGTCTTCTATTACTGGCAACACATCCTTGTATGTTCAAGTATATCTTTCAGTCTAATTTTGTACAATTTTAAATCTTTTTTTCCTGAAAAGTATTACTGAATTAATCAGTGGTACTAACAAGTGGAATTAATATAATTTACAGAAACGTAGACAGTTACACAGTGAAATTGCAAAACAGGGCAGACAAGAGACTGGACACCACACTGTCCAAGTAGTTTAGAATACTTTGGGAACTATGGAGGGTGATTTTGCTAGGCTTTTGTTAGAGGAAGTTCTTGCTTCGAAAAAATGTTTGGTTTATGATGCAGAGGTGCAAAACTAATAAAGAGCATGGATTCAGAAATAATTTTATTTCAGATCAAGAAATCAAATTCTATTCTGAATGAAAGATTTCATATTTTGTTTGGCTTTGAAAACATTTTTTCAGAATTGTTTTTACAGAAGAAAACAGGCAATAATTTTTAATTTTTCCTTGTTTTTTAAAAAAATTGTTTTGCTGAAGGAAAACAACTTTAACCAAAAGGAAATAAAAATTCATTTAGAATATCTAGCATATCTTAACATGAACTTCTTTCACAGCAGAATTCCATCTGGGTTTTATAAATATCTGTCAATGCGCTTATCTGTATTACAGAAGTATCTGGAAGAATCCTTAATTGTTTTGGTGGTGTTTGTTTTTTTTTTTTCTATCATTGATGAAAATAATTTTGCTTTCTTAGTGAATTACGAGAATACTTTTACTTCAGCCTGGCTGTCCTGTGTGAGCTAGCTTAAAGTTAGAGACAAACCCAGCCAATGAAGACAAGGCATTTGGAAGTTACTTCATGCTAAAATCTTAGGCCACGTTCATGTGAGCTGTGGATCTGACATTAATTTCAAGCCACATTAAAGTTCAAGTTCTTTGTCTTCACTGTAATTATGTAAGTGTTCATTAGTTACACGGTCTTGTTTTTTTATTGTGTAATTGGGGACAAGTGAATCCTGATTGCCTGCTTGAGGAAGACTAGTGCTTCTCTGTGCTGAGGAAAGGCTGAGTCTCTCTCTTGCTTCAATGGCGAATTTTAAGCTTTGTATCACTTCACCTTCAAAAAAAAAAAAAGGCAAGTGATGATAGTGTTGCTATTTTAATCTTTCATAGGAGGCTGGCTTGGTATATAATTTTCTGTTTTCCCTTTAAGCTAACCTCAGCATGCTGTCATATGAATACAGGGCTGAGATGTAGATTAGTGTCTGCTTTCTGGTCAGGGTTTTGTATCAGAGTGACAGTGACAATGGGAGAGAGAGCTTCCCCTCTTCCTCCTGCCCCATTAAAGTGCTGAGGTGTAGTGGTCTGTCACCTCTCTGATGCTGTTCTTATGTCAGTTCTTGTCAGTATTGTGCCAGCACGTTGTCAGTGAATGTGCTTGTCTAAACAGTCATGTGCTTGGACTGCTTCTCTCTTGTGAGCATTGAGAAATCAAGATACTAATGCAGTAACTTGCAATTTCTGGTATACAGTCCATGGACAGTGTTTTATTGTTGAATAGCCTGAGTACTTTTTGACCAGATGGTGCATCTCTCTCCAGACCAAAGACTGCATTGCTTCCTCAGCATCTTTACTATGTCACCTGCCTCTTTCATGCTTAATGCCTGCAGTGTGTGCACTGTGGCATTTTAGCTGCTTTCAACAGTCTGATGGAAAAGAAGCATCTTGTGATCAGTTTCCTTAGGTTTTTTTTTTCTTTTGAGAGTATAGTACTACTCTTCAAATATATGCTTATTGGCTTCCTGTGATTGTCTGATTTTGGCTGTAATTCCATTTACAAGTCCTGTTTCGAGAAGCCACTCTACAAGTTATATCCCACTCTTGTATGCCACCTGTGTGGGTCTGCGCCAAAACCCTCATGTGCTGTTCTTCAGTTGCCTGAGTTAGGGCTGATGGTCTGTCAGAGCTTTCTAGCCATGTGTTTGCTGGACCAGGAGCTGCAGTTTCAGAAAAATCTGAAGCAAGCATTTGCTGTGTCCTTGTAGCTGTGCAGCTGGATCCCATGCAGATGTTCCAATCCCAGTCTTGGCCTGGTAAGACTGTCCAACTCAAGAGCAAATAAGCAGTCCAAATATATTTCTCTTCAAGAGAAAAGGACAAGAACATTTCTGGAGTGTGCAGGTTAAAGCATCTCTGCTCCCCAGTCTGCTTCAAACCTCTGAAATGCCGTTAACACAGCATTTGCTGTGGCCAAGTTCCACAGAGGTGTGACCACCACAGCCAGCTTGCTTGTAGGCAACCTCAAGCCATCTGTTTTTCCCTTTCAGTGTCCATGATTTATTCTGGCCAGAGACGACAGTACCGTTACCTCCCTGAGTTCGCCTCAGTTGGTATGCTGCTGGTGGTGGTTTAGACTGTTGAGAATTTAACTGCCATGTGGAAGCACGGCCAAGGTCCCTATGATGGTCCTCTGTCAACACTTAGAAGCAGCGTATTTCCAAAGCTATTGGATGTTCTTTTTTCACACAGCAGCAATATTATGTGCCTATCATATCTACCCACCACAGCATTCTTCATTCCAGGGATATGGCTATTCCAGGGATATTTGCATTTCTAGTCTTACTCTGATCTGATTTTTTCTTGTAGCCTGAGGCTTGGAAATGAGGGAATTTCCTCTCCTGCAGGGTGATGAGTCCAGCTCCCAATAGGACTTTGGAAGGAATATTATATTCCTTGCATAGCCCTCTGGGAGAGGAGACAAATGCTGCCTAATGCTCCAGAATGTTCTGCATTCTCCTGCTGTCTAGCAGTGAAGCAGTTACAGGCTTACCTATGTTCTGTATCAAGTTTCCAGCCTCTTGTCATCTCCTTTCCCCTATGCCTTCTGGCACGAGTGTGATGTTCCTGTCAAATTTTCTGCTTCTGAATTTGGTGAATCTTTAATGTGTGTTTACTGGCTTTGTGGTCAGATGGACTGAAACATAATTGTTGGTAGAATAGTAATTACTGTAGGGCTTGAGTAGAGAAAAGCATTCATCCTTATGAAGATCCTTCACTGAAGTTAGACTTTGACGTTAGAATCACATTTGCTTGTCACCGAGCTCCTTGACTCTCTCCCTGACGTGGTAGCACCACATCCTGGACTCTGCCACTCCAGTCTTGCTGTGTTTTGTTTAGCAGCAGCAAAGTTACATTAACATTTTCAGTAGAGCATGCTTGTTTCCCTCTTGTAAGAGAGGTGATAGCAAGAATGGCTCTGTGTAACTCGGGTTACATGGTAAAATCAACTGGGTTCTCAAACCGCATACTTGTTCCTCTTGCTCAGTTCTCAGTCTTTGTTTTAGCTCCAAGAAAATGTCCTAAATACCAGCCTGGGTTCTTTTGGCTGAGGCCCTGCCTAACTGCCATTTCTGCCCGCTGCTGTTGCTGTTTCTCTTCCCCCAACCCCCTCGCCCTGCAATGCTACCCTCAGCCAGTTGTTTGCCCTTAAAAATCTCTGATATCTGTTGTGATATAAATGTCAGAAATCTCTTTTTCCACCCCTAGTGACATCATCTTAAGGTTGCATGGAAATGTCTTGGCCATGGTTAACATCTGGCACAGGGTGGGAGAGGTTTGGGCTGTTGTCATGGATCACCTCCAACAAGTGTGTCCTGAGAGAGCCTGTTTGAAAATTTCTTTTTCAGATGGACTTTCAGTTTCACCTCAACTGAGGTATCAGCCTTTCTGTGTTTGTTTTTGATTAGTTGGATTAATTTCCCCCTTTCTAGCCTTATGACTTCAGGATTTAGGCAACACTTTGCAGCCTTAATAAATCATGAGAACAGGACCAGGTGCTTTAGTACACTATCTGCACTAGTTTTTGCAAGCTCAAGAGGACTACAGAACAGAGCCACCTTTTGTTGTCATAGCAGCCTGTTAAAGCTAAATCTGCTGCTAAGGGTTTTGAGAAGCATTTTCCTCTTGACATCTGAGCAGCCCTCTGGGTTCTGTTTGTACCTAGTATAAGATGCTTGAGAAGCATCCCAGGCTAGTGCTGCAGCTGGCAGATTAGTAGTATTGTCTGTGGTACCTACCACCATGTATGAATATGAACAACAGAATGTATTACTCTTTGGAATCACTGCTCATGTTGACTCAATTATTTACTAGAATAGTATTTACTAGATATAAAACTATTTACTAGAAAACTAATTCTTCAATGTGCATCACATGTATTTGATTCCTGCTCTGTTTATACTCTCTGGAAAGTCCCCTGAAGGTTTTTGCTGTGGGGATTCAGCATTTCATAGGGAACTGAAGTAACAGCAAGGAGATGCTGCTTTCTGTTCTCAACCCTCAGCTAGGAAGAGGTGAAGTAGGTGGGATCTTGTGCCCATGATACTGGAGAGGCAAAGAACAGAGAGGCATGTATGTGCATCTGCTGTGAGAATGTGCGTGTAAACTCTTACT